AAGTGTTATGATCAAAGTAGATATTTCTTTCAATGGAGTCTTGGAAGAGAGACTAATGGAAAATAAGAAAACATACTCACATTTGGGACACTGTCCTTTCTCCACTAGTGAGGGTCAGAGCTGAGACTTGAATAAAAGGGACAAATGAAGTAAGACAGTGTCCAGGAAGCCTTGTATGAGCTAAGGCTGTCCAGGCTGAGTTACAGAGGTTTGCTGGACTGTGGGTCTCTATTTGTGAAATTATTGCACTAAGTAGACAATAGACTTCCACCTTTAGTGCCTTTACTCCATCATGAGTCATAGCTATGCATTTGCTGAAATTCTGCTACAAGCCTCTTCCTGCTTCTTTTCTACAGCATTTAATATTTGAAATTCCTTCACCCTCCATACAACTCTTTCCAACTCTGGCTTTAGAAACAACTGACTCTTGTCCCTACTAATATTTTTATTGTTATTAAATTTATTAGATAATGTTTGTTTAAAAATATTATATAAATTTCAGGTGTACAACATTTTAATACGACATCTGTATATTCGATTTGGTGTTCATCACCTGAAGTTTCATTTTCTTCCCATACCGTATACTTGACCTCTTTTACTCTCTTTGTCCTCTCCCCATTCTTTTTTCCCTCTGCTAACCTCCATTTGTTGTCTATATCTATGTGTATGTTCGGTGGTTGTTGTTATGTTGTTGCTTTTTGTATTATAACCCACATATGAGGGAAATCATACAATTCTTTTCCTTTTCTGTCTCCATTATTTCACTATGCTCACTTAGCATTCTATTATCAAGGTCCACCCAAGATGTTGAAAATGTCAATATTTCATCTTTTTGTAAGGGCTGAGTAGTATTCCATTATATACTTATACCAAATCTTCTTTATTCAATTGTCTGTCATGGGATATTTAGGTTGTTTCCATGTCTTGGCTATTCTAAATAATGCTGGAATGAACATAATGGTAGATATATTTTTACAAATAAGTGTTTTCAAATTTTTCAGGTAGATACTCAGTAGAGAGATTTCTGGGTCATATAGTAGCTCTCTTCTTACTTCCTTGAGAAACCTCCATACTGTTTTCCATAGCAGCTATACCAATTTACTTTCCCACCAGCAGCATACAACTGTTCTTTTTTTCTCCAGAACTCGTTATTTACTGTTTTATTGATAATAGCTATTCCAGCAGATGTAAGGAGATATCTCATGGTGGTTTTGACTTCCGTTTCCCTAGTAACTAGCTATATTGAACATTTTTTCATACATCTGTTGACCATCCATATGTCTTCCTTGGAAACATGTCTACCCAGGTCCTCTGCCTATTGTTTAATAAGATTGTGTTTTTGTTGTTGTTGTTGTTGCTGACTGGTGTGAGTTCTTTATATATTTTAGATATTGGCCCCTTATTAGAGGTATTGTTTGCAGATATCTTGTCCCCTTTAGCTGGTTAGCTTTTCGCTTTGTTGACAGTTTCTTTTGCTGTGTGCACAGATTTTTTAGTTTGAAATAGTTCCAATCATTTATTTTTCCTTTTACTTCCTTTGCCTTTGGGGTCAACTTCACAAAATCCCTCTGAGACCAAAGGCCATAAGTTTAATACCTATGTGTTTTTTTCTGTGTATTTTATTCTTTCAGGCCTTACATTTAAGTCTTTAATCCATTTTAGGTTTATTTTTGTATATAGTATAAGATATTAGTATAGTTTCTTTTTTGCATTCGGCTATCAAATTTTCCCAACACTATTTATTGAAGAGATTTTTCTTTATTTTATATTCTTGGCTCCTTTGTCAAAGATTAGTTGTCTGTTTGTAGGTGTGTACTTCTGAGTTTTTTATTCTTTTCCATTAAATTATGTGTCTGTTTTTCTGCTAATATCATGCTGTTTTGATTACTGTAGCTTTCAGTATAGCTTGAAGTTTAGGAGTGTAATACCTCTGGCTTTATTCTTTTTTTTACCAGGATTGCTTTAGCTATTAGGGGGTCTTTTGTGGTCCCAGGCCAATAAAAGGATATTTTGTTCTATTTCTATGAAAAATGTCATAGGGATTTTGCTAGAGATGGCATTAAATCTGCTGATTGCTTTAGGTAATATGGACATTTCAGCAACGTTGTTTCTTCCAATCCATGAACATGAACTATCTTTCCATTCCTTGGTGTCTTTTGCAGTTTCTTTCAAAAATGTCTTATAGTTTTCGGTGCACAGTTCTCTTCATCTCCTTTTTAAAAATTATTCCTAAGTATTTTATCATTATGGTTGTGGTTGTAAATGGTATTGCTTTATTCATTTCTATTTTTGATTAATATAGAGAAACACAACAATTTTTGCATATTGACTTTGTGTCCTTCAACTTTACAGTATTTGTTTATTGTGTCTAATAGTTTTTTGGTGGAGTCTTTAGGGTTTTCTATATATAGAATTATGTCATCTGAAAATAATAACAATTTATTTCTTCATTCCTAATTTGGATGCTTTTTATTTATTTTTTCTTGCCTCGGTACTCTGGCTAGGACTTTCAGTACTGTGGTAAATAACACTGGTGAGAGTGGGCACCCTGTCTCGTTCCTGATTTTAGAGGAAAGCTGTCAGTTTTTATACCATTGGGTATAATGTTAGCTGAGGGTTTGCCACATATGGCTTTTATTATGTTGAGGAACTTTCCCTCTATACTGATTTTATTAAGTGTTTTTTTAATCATAAATGGATGTCATATTTTACCAAATAGTTATATGATCATACAATTTTTATCTTTTATTTTGTTAATGTGGTGTATGTCACATTGACTGATTTGTGGGTATGGAATTATCCTTGTATCCCTGGAATGAACCCCACTTGTTCATGATGTATATGATCCTTTAAATATATAGTATTGTATTTGATTTGCAGTATTTTACTTAGAATTTTTCATCTGTGTTCATCAGAGATACCAGCCTGTAATTTTCTTGTGTGTGTGTGTGTGTTGTCCTTGCCTTGTTTTGGTATCAGGGTAACTTTACCCTCATAAAATGAGTTCACCACGATTTTCCCCTTTTCAGTTTTTCAGAAGAGGCTTAAAAAAACTGGTATTACATCTTCTTTGAATGTCTGGTAGAATTCACCAGTGAATCCGTCTCTTTCTGGACTTTTGTTTTTTTAATTACTATTTCAATTACCTTACTATTAGTCTATTAAGATTTTCCAATCCTTTATGATTCAGTCTAGCAAGGTTGTACACTTCTAAGCATTTGTTCATTTCTTTTAGGCTTTTGAATCAGGTGGTATATTTCTTTTATTAGTATTCCAATATAATCTTTTGTATTCTTTTGGTATCCACTGTAACTTCTGCTCTTTCATTTCTGATTTTCTGTAGTTGTACCTTTCCTGTTTTTTCCTTAGTGAGTCCAGACAGAGGTTTGTCAATTTTGTTTATCTTTTCGAAGAACCAGCACTTTGTGTCATTAATTTTTCCTATTGCCTTTTCATTTTCCATTTCATTTATTTCCACTCTAATTTTTTAGTATTTCCTTTCCTCTAAGTAATTTAGGTTTAATTTGTTGTTCTTTTTCTAGTTCGGTACAGTATAATGTTAAAACATTTATTTGGATTTTTAAAAATTTCTTGCATTAGGCTTGTAATGCTATAAACTTCCATGTTAATACCACTTTTTCTATATTCCCCAAATTTTAATTTGTCCTATTTTCATTTTCACTTATCTCTATGTATCTTTTGACTTCTTATTTCTTCTTTGATCCAAAAATTATTCAGTAGCGTGTTGTTTAACCTCCACATATTTGTGGTTTTTCCATATTCTTCTTGTAACAATTTCCAGTTTCATACCATTATGGTTGGAATATTTACTGAGTTCTATCTTTTTACATTTATTGAGACTAATTTTGTGCCCCAACATATGGTTTATCTTTGAGGATGTTCCATGTGCACTTGAGAATACACATTCTGTTGTTTTGGGATGGAAAGTTCTACTAATATCAATTAAGTCTATTCGGTCAAATGTGTCATGTAAGGTTAATATTTCCTTATTGACTTTCTGTCTGCATGACCTATCCATGGCTGTCAGGTCTCCTACTATTATATTAGTTTCTCCTTTTAGGTCTGTCAGTAATTTGCTTTACGTATTTCAGGGCTCCCATGTTGGGCACATATATAGCCATGTGTTATATCTTCTTGATAAATTATTCCCTTTATCATGATAAAATGTCCATTTTGTCTCTTTTCCTTTTTACCTTGAAATCTGTTTTGTCTGATATAAGGACTGCTATACCTGCTTTTCTCTAGATTTCATTGGCTTCAAAGAACATCAACCACACAGCTGTAAACCTGGTCTGTTAGCATGTATATTCTCATTCTCCATTTTAATTTAACAGATTAATACCATCTTTAGCAAAAATTGGAGGAACCACTCCAATTTTTACTCCCCTATGTCACTCAAAGCATTGACTGTACTTTTCCTTTGAATTTAGTCCCTAAAATGATCTTAAGGCCAGAGGACAGACATTAACTCCACATCAGAGGTCAGCTTGCAATGCCTCATTTGGGATGGTTTTCTCTGCAGGCACTTGGAGTTTATTCCTTTTAGAGACAAATCCCACTTTGCTTCCGAACAAAGCTTTTTGGAAAAGGTAGAACAACAGTGGTTAATGATTTACCTTCCCAGGGGTCCTCTCAGGCAAGGAAGGGCAGAATCATTCACACTAGGGGTCGGGAGTTCAGTGGCCAAACCATCAGACTTTGATGGGATTTAGTAGCAAACATTCGACCACGGAAATCTCAAGTATTGCCCCTAATAATGCCCGCATAATGCGCGATTAATGCCAAATTTGAGCAAGGTCCCTGGAACTACTGACAGTTTGGAGTCCAGAGGACGAAAGTGGAACCCTAGGGGCATGCTCGCCCCTAGGCGACCCACTGTCTAGGCTCTGGGTTTCTTTTTTTCACATCGACGTGCTTTATTCTATCCTGCGTTGAGGAAAAGACGCAGTGACGACTCTGCCATCTCGTTTACTTTCCAGAGCTGCCAACAGACCCGGGTGGATTAGGACCCACCAAAGGACACGTCCTGTTCCCTCCAGTGCTAGCAGGCCAACTCCCGAGCCCGGCCCCGCCTTCCTACTCTGGGAGGGGCCCCGCCCTGCCAGAGGACTCGTAGCAGTTCACGCCCACCTGCGGTTACTTAACACTTTGCGAGTCTAGCGATTGTTGCGTCTGGTACCTACACTCAAAAAGGTAAAAGCTCACTGTCCCTCAGCTTTCCCGGTGATCTCCCGGAAAATGTCGGCGTGTTGCGAGCTGCGCAGGGCACCTCGCCGCCGCCCCAAGAGTCCCTTTTTATCTTGGAGCTTCAAGATTCTTTTGATGGCCCTAGTGCTCCGGTTACCCACATCCTTTGGTAGGAATCTGGAGACGGTGTGCGCTCGGGAGGCGAATGTAGCGGGTCAGGGAGGGAGCAGACCGACCAGAGCCGAGGGCTGGGGGATTCGCTTGGTGGGTCGGGTAGGAGGCACGGAGCGTGGTCGCCCCCGGTGGTGAGAAGCTGGGGTAGAGGGCTTATCCACAGATGCTCAGGGTTGTGCTGTGGCGGATCCAGGACAGTGGGGTCCTGTACTGGTGAAAGTTGCTTGGTGGTCAGCACTGAGCCTTGTGGGCCACTGGGTGCTGCCGGGTTTTGCCAGGGGCGAAGGTGTGTCTCCAGCAAAAGCTTGCAGGTGTTTGGGGACTGAGTCATTTAGGATGGGAAGCCCTCAGCTGTGCTGAAGGTGGGGGCTTTAGTGCTCCGTGGGGATGTTGCTAGGGCCCGTGCTATGCCTGTGGAGAGGTTTGGCGCTGTGTTCCCTGGGCGGGGTGGGAGTGTCTGTGTCCGGCTTTGTTGGGCTGGGGGAAAGGAGGCCGAGTGTGTTACCTGGTGGTGTGGTTTACAGAAATGTCCAGGCAAGCGATATGGAGTGGGGGACAAGAAAGCTCACGGTAATCAAACCTAGTAAGAAATGAAAACCTAAGAAATGAACAATAAATATTGGTAATACGGTCACGCACATACACGCACGCAACACAGTTCATAAACTAAAAGATGAAGGCCATCCACTTTCAGGATAGTTACTGAGATTGAATGCATGAAACAAAGGATACTTGCACAATTTAATTACAGACATGCTGTTATGTGATTTCTTTCTTGATGGCTCCAGGAAATTCTAGAATGATGTTGTACATTTGTGTCAGAACAGAATTTTATAGACTTTCTAGCTCATGTTTGTTTTCCTATTTTGAGTGGGAATGTCTAGTTCAGGGTATTCAGTAATGTTAATAAAACACGCCTCTATGCATATCCTCTTTTTTTTAAAAAAATGCTGTTAATTACTGGGGCTTTTGGGTTGCTTTTTTGCTTTTGTCTTGGAAAACTGATTGAGGAAGATTCAGAAACCAAGGTCAGCATAGTGGAAATACTGAAAACATTTTGCCAGTAGGTCGATTTCAGGACATGATGGAAATGAAATGTTGGACTGTGTATATATAGAGAATCTTAGAATTTAGAATATGATACAAAATAAGAGTAAAATTTCACTTCTTTAGATTCTTGGCTGGTCTCACAATCTGAATACCAACTCAGGGAGTAGGGATCAAAACAGATCTTTCTTCTTAGGTCCTTAACCTTGTAGGAGAAGCCTCTGCATTCTTTTAGCTCTTTAGGACTTTACTTGATGTGTCTTCATCACATTATTTTACATAATTGTTCTAACACATTTGTTAGATTTTCAAGCACACACATAATTAAAAATAAGAGGAATTGCTGGAATAAAAATGATACTATGGAGAAAAAAAAACTACCAAAGTGAAATAGAAGTAAAAAATTTTAAAAGCATAGCAATATAGTAGCTTTCCTGTAAGGATATATTGGATTTATAGCCCAAACAGCTACCTCAGGGAGCTTCTGAGGGGATGGAAGATCTCCTTATCAGTGAAGGAAAATTATTATATTTAAAGTAATGTATAAGAAAGCAGGTTTTGTTCATGTTGGGCTATTCAAAGTAGTAAATTTTGACACTTAAATGGCAACTGTTCACTTATAAAATGTTAGATTCACTAATATGAAATGAATTCATATATTTTTGAAATATTTTAGTCCATGTTTATTTTGATCTGTGAAATCCATAAAATGTTTATTTATTAATCACCACTTAACCATAGCATTTCTTGAGCACTGGATAGAGTTTAGTAGAGTAAGAATGCATATGACCTCTGACCTCTAGGAATGTGCCTCCTGAGAGGAGACTGAGCCTAAAGCAACAAGTGATAAATTTGTTTCAAACTATGGAAGAGTAAGTAATCTGGGCAGAGTGCCATATACTATGGAAGATTTCTTAGAGGAGGAGTTTTGAAATAAATCTAGAAAAAATGATAAATATATGTATATATTTTGAAAATCATTGGATAAAAATATTTTTTATTCTTTGAAAAATGATAACTATATATATGCAAAACCTCAGACATTGATTTTTGTTTTATAAATTTACTGTTGAATAAAAATCCAGCTCATTCCCCAACAAACCAAAAGCTAATAGAATGTTACTTAAAGTGTGGCACATCATCCACTACTACCACCACTTGGGTAAAAGCAGGGAACAATTATTTTAAATCTTGCCAAGGAGTGTTCCATTTATTCTGTACTATCTACCTGCTACCAGGCCACAGTCCCTGGTTGGTCAGAGATTAAATATTTTATATTTATGTTCTTATTTTCTTATTCTTAGGTGACTGTGGTAAACCACCAGTGTTTGAATCTATGACGATAAAGGGTACCCCTAAATCTTCATATGCAGTTTGGGAGAAAGTATTTTATGATTGTAAACCAGGATACTTTTACAAATTATTTTTCCCCTATAACACCTTTTGTGAGCCAAATAATACATGGTTCCCTCTTGATGAAGCCTGCTCCAGTAAGTAAAGAAAGCCTTTCTTTTTGTATGTCTCTGTGTGTGCTCTAGTGTTTGGGTCTTTTTATACAATTTAGGGTCCATTTTCCACCATGGCAATGATGATTTTCTCATGTGAAACTAGGTTTTTAGATAGCAATGCAGTTTTTAGGATTTGACAGATCTCCCAGAAACTTTTCTGTAGGCAGTTGGTTGCCTGGGTAAATGTGAATTTTATGTTTTCCTTTATAATAGTTAACTCAAAAAAACAATATTGCATGAATTGAAAAGAACAGTGTAGAATTTTGATTTTGATTTAAATTTGTTTTAAAATTTGTATAAAACATTAAAAAATTTCATTTTAGAAAAATCATGTCCAACTCCGAAAGTCCCAAATGGAGGAGTAGTTGCCCCACAGATGGGCTTTGAATTTGATAAAGAAGCTCACTTTTATTGTGATGACCGGTAAGTTGCTCCTTAGGGAAAATAAGGTAAGCATTACCGATTCCGGATTGTTCTGCTTCTCTACTTAAGTATTTCCATAAAGTTGATTTTATTTTGCTTTCTGTGTGACAAGTTGTACTTGTAGCCAATCAACTCTTGGGCTTTTAATGGAAACTGGAAAGATATATATTTAATAGAAAGAAATTTAAATCAGAGGAAAGCCAAATTATATAACCCTTGATATATGTAATAATGAGCTTATTGTAAGCATCACAAATGTAGTAATCATGGTGACTTTATCCTTGACAACAAAGTGCACCCCACTGAAAAAGAGGCAGAGCAATTCTCAGAGTTGAAGGCGCGCTCACAGAAATGTTGTGTTGTTGAAGTCCTCTAATTCTTTATATGTCTTCTGTCTGTTCTATCTTTTATTATAAGTGGGGCATTGAAGTCTTTTAACTGTTATTGTAGAACTGGTTGTTATGTAGAAATGTGCATTTCTCCCTTCAATTGTTTGCTTCATATATTCTGATGTTTGTCATTAGGTGTCAGAATGCTTACAACTGTTCTGTTTTTTTATCTATACCTTTTTTTTAATAATATTTAAGATATCTTGTATTTGTTTCTTGTAACTGTTTTGATTTGAAATATGTTTTATCTGATATCAGTGTAGCCATACCTGCTCTTTTTTGGGATACTGTTTGCATGGAATATCTTTCATCATCCATTCACTTTCAACCTAATTTTGTCTTTAGATCTCAAGTGAGTCTTTTGTAGGCAACATATAGTAGGATCATGTGTTTTTTGTCCATTCTTCCAACCTCTTTCTTTGGATTAGAGAATCTGTCATTTAAATGTAAACTATTGGTGACAAGGAGGGACTTCTCTCTTTGTGCTATTTGCTTTCTATATGCCTGATAGCTTTTTTTTTTTTTTTTGTCCATTTCCTACATTGCTGTCTTCTTTTTTTTTTTAGTAATCTTTTTATAATGAAATGTTTAAATTCCTTTCTCATTTCCTTTTGTGTATATTCTTTGGCTATATTCTTTGTGGTAACCACAAGTTATCCTAAAGTTATATCCATCTACATTAGAATCTATACCAGCTTAACACATAAAAGCCTAACTCCTTTATAGCTTTACACCCACCCCATTTGGTTGTTGCCATCACAGAATTTCATCTTTATATATTGTGTGTCCCAAAGCATAAATTAATAGTTCTTTTAAATGCATTATTTCTTAACTTATATAAAAAAACAAGATTTGGAGTTAAGAAACAAAGTGACAGTAACACTTTACACTCATATTTTTCTTTAAATGTATTATCTCTTAAAATGTGAAGAAAACAGAAATTACAAACTATTGTTACAAGAATACAAGCTTTTATAATTGCCCATGTATTTATACTTAGTGAGATGTTTATTTCTCTTTTTGGGTTAAGGTTACTTTCTTGTGTCTTTTTATTTGACATTGGAAGTCTCCCTTGAGAATTTCTTGCAGAGAAGTTCTAGTGGCCTAGACTTCCTCAGCTTTTGATTACCAGGGACTGTCTTAAATTCCCCTGCACTTTTGAGGACAGTTTTGCTGAATAGAGTATTTTTGGTTTAAAGATTTTTTTTTTCTTTTCACACTTTTAGTATAGCAGCCCACCATCTTCTGGGTTCCAAAGTTTCTGATGATCTGCTTATTATCTTATTGAGGATCCCTTGTATGTGATGATTCGTTTTTCTCTTCCTAGTACCAAGATTCCCTCTGTCTTTGGTTTTTGAAAGTTTGATTGCAGTAGTCCTTAGGTACCCACAAGAGATTAGTATCCCCCTGTGGATACCAATCCAAGTCTCATATATAAGAGGGTATAATATTTGCATATAACCTATGGATATTCTCCTGAATACTTTAAATCATCTCTAGATTACTTACAATACTTAATATACAATGTAAATTCTATGTAAATAGTTGTTATACTATATTGTTTATGGGATAATGACAAGAAAAAATCTGTACTTCTTTTTTAAAGAATATTTTGAATTCTTGGTTGGTTAAATCCATATATGTGCAAGAGTTCTTATGTCTTCATGTGGGTCACTTTGAAATCATTTTACCTGGAGATCATTGAGTTCTTGGGTGTTTATATTTATGTCTTTTATCAGATGTGGGAAGTTGCCAGCTATGATTTTTTTAATATATTATTTTCACCCATTGCTGCCTTTCTTCTCATTTTGGGATTCCCACAACGCGTATGTTGGTCCACTTGATGGTGTCTCAGAGGTACCTTAAGCTCTGTTATGTTTTCTTCACTCTGTTTCTTTCTGTTCTTCAGACAGAATAAATGTCATTGTCCTAACTTGGTGTGTGCTGATTCTTTTTTCTTCTTGCTCAAATCTGCTTTTAATCCTTCTAGTGAATTTTTCATAGCAAATTTTTGAGGTCCAGAATTTCTTTTCACTTTTTTTTAGGTTTTATATCATCTTACTGATATTTCAATTTTATTCTCACATCATTTTCTTGACTTTCTCCACTTCATTTAGTTCTTTAAGCATCTTTAAGAGAGTTATTTTGAAGTCCTTGTCTAGTAAATTTGCCATCCTGCCTATCAGGGACAGTTTCTATTGTTGTTGTTTTTTTAATGGACCATACATTTCTCTCTGTTTGCATGCCTTGTGATTTTCTTTTTGTGGAATACTGCATATTAAAATTAATAATGTGGTAATTCTAGAAATCAGATTCTTCACCATCCTTAGACCTTACTGTTTTGGTTTTTGGGTTTTTTTTTGTTATTGTTTTTGTATGTTTGATTGTAGGGTATCTCTGTGCTAAGGATCAGCCTCAGATGTAAACTGAAAGTCTACTCAGGTTGTTTCAGAGCCTTTCCCTGGGCACATGAACTCAATTTCTAATATTCCATATATATGCCCTTGTTTTTGAATATCCTCCTTTTTAATGTCTGGCTCCTGAGAGAGAAAAAGCAAAATATGAAGTGGAGAGGAAAGGGTGCAGGATCTGTAAATTCTCTGAAAATAATTTCAGCTGGGAAGGAAAGAGCATACTATAGAGGGAGGAGATGCTGCAACAATGGCTACCCATCTTTTTGTCCATTTCTTTGTGATCAGAACCAGTAATCAGAGCGCAGATCCCTGGTATTTGTAGGACAGGACCTTTTTTGCCCACTAGCTACTATAAGCTACTTCAAGAACACATACACAGCTGTCTGACATGTTATCAGTGATCGAGGGTGTGTAGCTATTTTCCAAAGATCTGAAATTCATTGAAATTACATTTACTTGTCAGAGTCTTCCCAAGGGAGTTTGAAGCCTTTAGTGGACTCCAGAGTTCCAAATAGTTACATCAATCATACTCTGCCATTGAAATTGTTGTCTAGTTGGGTAGACAGAGTCCTAGTGCTTCCTACTCAGCCATCTTGTCAGAATTCTCTCTTAAAACACTAAAATATGGTGGGAAATGAGTGAGCTTTGACAGAAAAGCCTACTAAAACTATGTACAAGCACTTTCTCTATTTTTTATAATTTGATCAATTAAAAAAATGGAACATCCATTTAATAGTTTTAGAGAGTGAGACTGCTAAAACATTTTGAAGGATATCAAACATTTAAGACATAGATTCCTCTCAAAAAAAATGGTAGCCTTACTGAGAAACAGAATATATATACAGAGAAATGTCAAAGCAAAATAGCAAATGAGAAGTATCAAATAGTCATGGATATTGTAGTGAGAAATGAGAAGGAGCGAGTACTATGAATTTAAATCATCAAAGATTTTTTGTTTGTTTGTTTTGTCCAATAAATACCCAAATAGTATGCTTGAGCTATTCCTAGAAACATATTCTGATGCAAAGAATACATGCAGCTCTGACCAGGTGGCTCGGTTGGATGGAGCATTGTCCCATACTCCAAAAGGCGGTGCGTTTGATCCCATCAGGGCACATACCTGGGTTGCAAGTTTGATCTCCAGTCAGAGCATGTACAGGAGGCAAGCAATTGGTGTTTCTCCAAACGATGTTCTTCTCTCTCTCTCTCCCTCCCCGCACCTCTCTCTGTCTCCCCCTCTCTTTCCCTCCCTCTCTCTATCTCTAAAATCAATAAACATATCCTTCGATGAAGATTATTTCTAAAAAAGAATCCACGCATACCTCATTTCATTGTGCTTTGCTTTATTGCACTTCACATATATTGCATTTTATTAACATCAAGACATAACCCTCCACCAGCAAAAGAGTTACAACTCAGCTGAAGGTTCAAATGATGATTAACATTTTTAGCAATAAAGTATTTTTAATTAAGATATGCTTATTGTTTCTTTAAATGTAATGCTATTGTACACCTAGACTGCAGTACAGTGCAAATGTAATTTTATATGCACTGGTAAACCAAAAAATTTGTATGACTTGATTTATTGTGATACTTGTTTTATTGTGGTGGTCTGGAAATGAACCTGTGATATATCTGAGGTATGCTTGTATTAATAAGGGCTAAAACTTACCTAGCATTCACTATGTATCAGATACTAACTCATCTAATACTGAAAAAAACCTCATGAGTTATATACTATTATCCCATTTTCATAGATGAGGAAGGTGAAAAAGAGCAACATTAGGGACTTGCCCAACACCAGCAACATGTCCGTTGTGGAGATGGGACTTGAATCCAGTCAGGCAAACTCTAGGGCCTGATCGCTCTACTGAATTGTTGTCCTGATTGAGTAGAATGGAAGGAGCAAAGGCATAGGAATTAATGTGCAGGGTGTCCAAATTTTTGGCATCTCTGGGCTGCACTGGAAAAAGAAGAGTTGTCTTGGGCCATACATTAAATGCATTGTGACATATGATCACACACACACACATACACACATATACAAATATCATAATGTTTTAAGTAAATTTATGATTTTGTGTTGTGCCACATTCATAGCCTCCTGGGCTGAGGGTTGGACACCCCTATGTGTGGCTTCTAGAGAGAACAGAGACCAGACTGACAGGCATGACAGAGTTACTTAGATGTCTTTGTTCTTGGCCAATGTGTGTTCAAATGCGGAAACTGTTTAATTAAATACCAGATTTGGTCAACACTTTCATTATATTATGTCATTTAAGAAAATTTCTCCTCAGGTTATTAAGTGCAGAAAAACAACTATGAAATTTTCCTCTTTATTGTGTACATCTTGTTAACCGGTAATGAAACAGTAACCTTTCTTTTTTAAATTTAGTTATTACTTAAAAGGAGAAGAAATTCTAACTTGTAAACTTTCTGGAGACCAGGTGCATTGGGACTATGATATCCCAAAATGTGAAAGTAAGTAAATTTTCACTTTAGAATTTAGACCAACAATTCTCAATCTTTTGGCCTTTGAGGCCCATTTATGCAGATTTTTTAAAAACTAAAGTATAGTTGACATACAATATTATATTAGTTTCAGGTGTACAACATAGTATATTCAATATTTATATGCCTTACAGTATAATCACTACAATAAGTCTAGTAACTATTTGTCACCATACAAATGTATTACATTATTATTGATTATATTTCCTGTGTTATACATTATATCCTGGTGACTTACTTATTTTATAACTGAAAGTTTATACCTCTTATTCCCTTTCACCTTATATACCCATCCTCCCAGCCCACTTCACTCTGCAACCATCAGTTTGTTCTCTGTATCTATAAGTATATTTCTGTTTTATTATCTTATTTTAGATTTCACATATAAATGAAATAATTTGACATAACTTACTTCGCTTAGCATAATACCCTATAGTCCATCAATGTAGTTGCAAGTGGCAAGATTTCATTCTTCTTTATGGCTGAGTAATATTCCATTGTGTATGAATGTATATTTGTATATTTTATATATGTATGCATATATACACATAGATATACGAGGTCAGTCCAGAAAAAGTCCAGCCATTGTTACTATAATGAGGATAGTTTGCGCAACATTGTTGTTGTTGGCAGCCAAGGGCAGTGGACTGGAATGCACATGTGTGGCCAATGATGGCTTCACTGTACTAGTCAGTAGGGGTGGTAGATGTCATTGAGTGAGCATGTGTACTGTGTGGCCATTGTATTCAAAATGACTGAGCGAGTAGAGCAACAAATCTGCATCAAATTTTGTGTTAAGCTTGAACATACTTCTATGGAAACTATTTAGATGGTTTCAAATGCCACAGCTATGGACATCTGGTGGATGAAGCTGTTGTGATTTGCAACTTCATCATGACAACACACCCTCTCATACATCACGTCTCTTACAGAGTTTTTTGGTGGATCATCAAATTACCCAGGTGACTCAACCTCCCTACAACCCAGGTTTGGTCCCCTCAGCTTCTGGCTTTTTCCAAAACTAAGATCACCTTTGAAAGGGAAGAGATTTCAGACCATCGATGAGATTCAGGAAAATATGATGGAGAGCCAATGGTGATTGGAAGAACTATGGGAGGTCCCAAGTTGACTACTTTGAAGGGGACTGAGGCAGCATTATCCTGGTTACAAAGTTTCTTGCATCTTGTATCTCCTTCAATAAGTGCCTCTGTTTTTCATATTACATGGCTGGATACGTTCTGGACAGACCTCGTATATTTTACATCTTTTTTACCCATTCATCTGTTGATGGACACCTAGGTCATTTTTAATACCTTGGCTTTTGTAAATAATGTTGCAGTTATCTAGGAGTGTATATATCCTTTTGAATTACTGTTTTTATTTTCTTCCAATAAATACCCATAAGGGGAATTGCTGGGTCACGTTGAGGTACCTCACAACTGTTTTCCACAGTGGCTGCACCAATTTACAGAACCACCAACAGTGCAAGAGGACTCCCTTTTCTAGACATCCTTGCCAACACGTGTTGTTTGCCCTTTATGTTTTTAAGTTAACAAAGATCTCAAAGAGCTTTGCTTTATGTGGGTTATGCCTATTGATATTTATTATAATTAAAACTGAGAAGTTTATAAAATAATTAATTTTTAAAAACAGTAAACTCAATACATGTTAAAATATGCAATGTATTTTTTATAAATAATACAAAATTTCCAAACAAATAATGCGAACAAAAGCATTGTTTTACATTTTTATAAATCTCTTCAAAATCTGGCTTAAAGGAAGATACCCAGAATCATTCTGTTGTGAAATAACACAATTTGTAGCATCTGGAAAATTTTGCTATAAACTTGTAAGGATAAAAGTAAAAAAGACAATATCTTAGTATTATTGTGAACCAATGATTTAGCAAATTGACATAGTTATAAACTATAAAGCATTTCTTGGCTAACAGTGAATTTTATTTTTAACCACCAAGCATATTTTCTCATGAAATTTTCAGCAACTCTTATGATGACTTGAACAAAACTTAACATGGCCTTACAGATAAATGTAGGTATTTAAGAAAATTAGTTTTCTTTGGAAGTTCGCCTTACGTGGTTTGACTTGGGGTAATACATTTTCTCCTGGAAATCTTCTAACTAGATATTGGATTCACAACTAGACTATAGAAATAATATTGATGAATTTATTGAAGATAATTCATAGGGTTTTACTAATGTTTTCTTAATCTTTCATCTTTTTTCTCTCAATTCCTATTTTTTCTCTTTTTAAGAGATTTTGTGTAAATCACCTGGAAAAATAAAAAATGGAAAACATACTAATAGCTGGAGGGAGGTATTTGAATTTAATGAATTAGTAACTTATACTTGTGACCCTTCAAATGGACCAGAAGAATATTCACTTGTGGGAGAGAGCAGGCTTATTTGTTCTGGGCCTGGCAAATGGAGTAGTGACCCTCCTCAGTGTAAAGGTAATGATATTTCCATTTATTTTCTTCATTTGTAAATACTGTGGAAACCCTTTGTAAATAATTTTACCTATAAGTAAACAACCTGTCATATGTGCTTCCTACTTATGTTAAACTGACTTCTAATTTAATTTAATATTTGTCAAGTTGAATCAAAAATAGCTCTAGTTGTAGAATTCCCCACCCCCAACATGTTCTTGGTATTCCAGTTTATACAATGTGAACTATTGTGTATATGTATAAGTTAGGATCTTTTGCTTGGAAGAACCAAAAACACAACACACACTGGCTTAAAATTAAGAATGATTTTTCTTATCTTAAAATATCTCAGAGATATAGCTATAGGTAATGGTGAAGTAAACTTTGTGCACACATATTTAACAATGTTTAAGCACTAGAGAATAAACAAAAGCAGGGAGACACTGAAGGGGATTTGACTCGTGAAGAAAGTGACCACTGAATAACACCAAACTATTTACATGTGCACATGGAACATTCTCTAAGACCATATTCTGGGCAATAAGATTTTTTGACTTAATGGTTAGTTAGAAGTATCTTACATGATTGTCAAATACCAGTCATGCATCACTTGACAACAGGGATATATTCTGAGAAATGTGTCATTCGGTGATTGGAAATTGCAGCACTGTGTGAACACCATGGAATGTACTTATGCAACTCTCGATAGTATAGCCAACAAGGTGTTCCTACAGTAAAAAAAAAAAAAAAATTAGGACACCAAATAGCAAAACTACTTGAAGATAAAGGTAGCCTGTATAGTCCTATATTTATTAAAGAAACAGACTTAAAACTTCCCACAGTGAGAATTGCAGACCCAGATGGCCTACCCAGGGAATTCTACCAAACATTTTAGGAATAAATAATAGCACATGTGAACAAATTTGTCAAGAAGTATAAGAGGAAGGAATACTTCCCAACTCATTTTATGAAGACAGCATTAGCATGATACCAAAACCAGACAATATCATTGCAAGAAAATTACAAACAGTATCCTTAATAAATACAGAATCAAAACTTCTGAAGAAAATATCAACAAATCAAATCCTGCCATATATAACAATAATAATACATCATAATCAATTAAGATTTATCCCATAAATGTAAGACTGGTTCAAATTCAAAAATTAATCAATGTAATTTACAATATCAATAAATTGTAAAGAAGAAAACAATATACAATGATCTTATTAGATGCCACCAAAAAACAGTTAACAGAACTCACCATCTTTTTGCAATAAAACTTCTCAACAAACTAGGAGTAGAAGAGAACTAAATATCTCAACCTGTTAAAAGGCATAAATCTCACAGCTAACATTATTCTTAATGGTAAAAGACTAATTTATTTCCTCCCAAGGTAGGAGCAAGGGAAGAATATTCACTCTCACCACTCTATTCAACATTGTACTAGAGGTCTTACAACAAGGGGAAAAAAGAAATAGGCATACATGTGTATATGAAAGGAAGCAATAAAATAGTCCCTTCACTTATTTTATATGATTGTCTGTGTAAAAACCTCCAAATACCTAAGTTTTAGCAAGATTGCAAACTATAAGATCAACCTATGAAAATCAATTGTATGTCTATATACTAGTAGTAAACCTCTAGAAACTGAAATTTTAAAAATACAGTTTAGAACACCTCCAAAACACAAAATACTTGCATACAAATCTATCAGTATAAGTGAAAAGATTTGAATGCTAAAAACTACTAAGTACTACTAAAGGAAATTTTAAAAGACTTTAATATATGAAGGGATATACATTGGTCATTGACTGGAAGACTCAATATAATCAGGGCATCAATTCTCTGTATTTGATCTATAAATTCAGCACAATCCCAATAAAAATCCCAGCAGAACTTTTAGTAAATTGAGAGAACTGATTCTAAAATTTACATGGAATGACAAAAGAACTAGTATAGTCAAAACAATTTTGAACATAATTGAAGGATGCACTCTACCTGATGTCGAGTTTATAAAAAGCATACTATAAGGTATAGCCATGGTATTGGTAAAAGGATAGCCACATAGAGCAATGTGACAGAATAGTGAGTCCAGAATTAGACCCTTGACAATATGTCCACTTGCTTTTCATCTCAGGTATGTAAACAACTCATTGAAAAAAATGATCTTTTCAAAAATGGTGCGGGCACAATTGCACTTCCACATTGGGGAGAAATAAAAAAGGAACCAGAGCCAATTGTAGTACCATTCTCAAACATTTACCTAAAATGGGCCATAGATTTACATGTAAAATCTAAAACTATAAGACTTTTACAAGAACACTTAGAAAATATTTGTGACCTTGCCAGAGATTTCTTAAATACAACCAATGAAGCACAATTCCTTTAAATATTTTAATAAGTTAGATGTTCCACACTCAAAACCTCTGGTCTGCTAAAGACTGTAAAGAGAATGAAAATAATAAATAGGGAGAAAATATTTGCAAAGCACACACCTGATAATGGACTTTTACCTACAATATATGAAGAACTCTCAAAGCTCAAACAGAAGTAAACAATCCAGTTTTAAAACAGGCAAAAGATTTGAGTATATTCATTTCACCAAACGACATACAAATGACAAAAAAGAAAATGAAAATGAAAATTTGCTCAATATCATTAGTACTTACAAAAATGTAATTAAAAACCAAAAAGAACCCTGGCGGGATGGCCCAGTTGGTTGCAGCATCATCCCATGCACTAAAATGTAGGTTTGCACACCAGTCAAGGCACATACCTAGGCTGTGAGTTCATTCTCCAGTTGGATGCATATGGGAGACAACTGATTAATGTTTCTCACAGCAGTGTTTCCTTCTTTCTCCTCCCTTTCCCTCTAAAATTAATAAACATATTTTCTGGCAAGGATTATAAATACATACATACATACATACATAAATGTTTAAGTGAAAACCAGAAAGAGATGCAGCTCAACACCTTTTTTTAAATATTTTTTTAATTTTTTATATTTTAAGTACATTTTATTGATTATGCTATTACAGTTGTCCCACTTTTCTCTCCCTTTTATCCCCCTCCACCCTGCAACCCCCTCCTATCAGCATTTCCCCCCTCCCCTTAATTCATGTCCATGGGTCATATATATAAGATCTTTGGCTTCTCCATTTCCTATACTATTCTTAACCTCCCCCTGTCTATTTTGTGCCTACCAATTATGCTTCTTAATCCCTGTACCTTTCCCCCCATTTTCTCCCCACCCCCTCCCTCCTGATAACCCTCCATGTGATCTCCATTTCTGTGATTCTCTTCCTGTTCTAGTTGTTTGCTTAGTTTGTTTTTGTTTTTTAGATTCAGTTGTTGATAGTTGTGAGTTTGTTGTCATTTCAGTATTCATAGTTTTGATCTTCTTCTTTTCTTAGATAAGTCCCTTTAATATTTCGTATAATAAGGGCTTGGTGATGATGAACTCCTTTAACTTGACCTTAGCAGGGAAGCACTTTATCTGCCCTTCCATTACAAATGACAGTTTTGCTGGATAGAGTAATCTTGGATGTATATCCTTGCCTTTCATGACTTTTAATACTTCTTCTTGCCAGCCCCTTCTTGCCTGTGAGGTTCCATTTGAGAAATCAGCTCATAGTCTTATGGGAACTCATTTGTAGGTAACTCTCTCCTTCTCTTGCTGCTTTTAAAATTCTCTCCTTATCTTTAATCTTGGGTGATTTAATTATTATGATTCTTGTTGTGTTCCTACTTGGGTCCAATTTCTTTGGGACTCTCTGAGCTTCCTGGACTTCCTGAAGTTTATTTCCTTTGCCAGACTGGGGAAGTTCTCCATCATTATTTTTTCAAATAAATTTTTATTTTTGTGCTCTTCCTCTTCTCCTTCTGGCACCCCTATGATTTGGATGTTGGAATGTTTAAAGTTGTCCCAGATGTTCCTAAGCCTCTGCTCATTTTTTTGAATTCTTGTTTCTTCATTCTGTTCTGGTTGAATGTTTATTTTTTCCTACTGTTTCAAATCATTGATTTGAGTCCCAGTTTCCTTCTCTTCACTGTTGGTTCCCTGTATATTTTTCTTTATTTCAGTTTTCATAGCCTTCACTTTTTCCTCTGTTTTGTATCTATACTCCATCATTTCTGTGAGCACCCTGATTACCAGTGTTTTGAACTCTGCATGTGATAGGTTGGCTCTCTCCCCTTTGCTTCATTCTATTTTTGGAACTTTGATCTGTTCTTTCATTTGGGCCATATTTCTTTGTCTCAGTGCACCTGTTATGTTGTAATGGGCAGAGCCTTCAGTATTGTGGGGGGAGGGGGGAAATCCAGGTCTCTGTTTTGGTGGTGCTGTATGTGGGGGACGAGGTCAGAAAGGGAACAATACTTCTTGCCCCACTCTTGCCCCTCTTTCAGTCACTTCTCCTGCTACCCACAAGCAAATTGGGCCCTCTGGTGCTGATTCTCCAGTGGATGGGTTTGTGTCCATTCTAGGACCCCATGGATCTCTCCAATGAACTTTCCTGTGAGGCTGGGAGTTTAACCCAGCACCATAACCCCCACAGGTTTTTACAGCCAGGGGTTTATAGGCTTTAGTTTCCCATGCTGGAACCCTGATTTGCATGGTCTGTCTCACTACCCAGTTGTTCCTTCCAGCTTATCCTCACACAAATGTGGGACCACCTGTTCCTCCAGCAGCCGCCTTGCCTCGTGTCCTCTCCATCCCAGCTGTCCATCTTGTCCCCTCCTACTGGTCTGGATGAATGTTTCTTCTTTAACTCCTTGATTGTTGGACTTCATACAGTTTGATTTTCTGGCAGTTCTGGTTGTTTTTTGGTTTTTAAATTTATTGCTGTCCTTCATTGGTTGTGTGAGGAAGTAAAGTGTGTCTACCTATGCTTCCATCTTGGCCAGAAGTAGCTCAACACCTTTTAAAATGGCTGACATAAAAACAAAGAGAGAAGCCTAGCAAACAGTATGTACTGCCATGGGTATGAAGCAATTGAAACTTTTATACATTGCTGGTACGTATGCAAAGTGGTATGACCACTTTAGAACCCATTTTTACAATGTCTTACAAAGTTTAAAATGCACTTCATCTTACTAGGCAATCCACGTAAAATTAAAATGTGTTCTCATAAAAGCCTGCATGAGAATATTCATAGTCATCTCAGTTGTAATTATCCAACACTAGAAACTACCCACATTTTCTTCAACTAGTAAATGGATGAACAACTGTGGTACACCCATACAAAGGTATAAATACACAGCAATAAAAAGGAAAGAGCTCATGAATCATGCAACCACAGGAATGACACTCAAAGGTATTTTGCTTAGTGAAATAAGTCATACTCAGAGGGATATGATCCCATTCATGATATTCTGGAAAAGTAACACAATAAAGATTGAAAACAGAGCTGATTGGTGGAGGAACTGAAGGTTGATCACTCAGTGGCATGATGAAGTACTGAGAGATAATGGAACTTTTTGTTTTTATTACAGTAGTAATTACATGATTATTTGTAACTGTCAAAACTAATACAAACTGTGCAAATAAAAGGATGAATTTCACTGGATGTAAATTATAGCCATTAGGTTGAATTAACAGCAGATTGGCACAACAGTGGAAAGATCAGGGAACCTGAAGTCATGACAATGCAAATATAACATGATTTGAGAAGAAAGATTGTAAAGAAAGAAACTTACAGGACTGTGGGAGAGTGGCAAGCACTTAAACATATATGTAATTGGAGCTTCAGAAAGAAAGGATAGAGAACGTGTAGAAAATTATTTTACTAAAAATGGGCCAAAAATTTGAAATTGTGTCTAAAACAACCACACCCTTAGTCTAGGAAACTTAGTAAACCTAGCAGGATAACTCTATTTTTTAATTTATGAAAAACCCACCAAACTAAACATATCATGGCAAAACTGTTGGAAAAAATATGAAAGGAAAAGCAGCTAGTGAAGCAGAGAAGAAATATTACATTACCCCACCCCTTTAAGAAAGAATGATGCTGATTTCTCCTAAGGAACTGTGGAGACTAGAAGATAATATTTGCTCATGTTCTGAAAGGAAAATAAGCATTTAACCTAGAAATCTCAGGGAGAAATCTTCAAAACTGAAGGTGAAATAAAAAACATTTTCAAAAAAATAAATCTAAAAGAATTATCATTACCTGACCTGACTGCATGAATTGCTAAAGGAAGTACTTCAGGCTGAAGGGAAGATACCTGATAGAAATTCAGATCCGTAGATGAGAAGGAAGAGCACTCCTCTGATTTAAATGGCTGTACATTATGGGCTCTTACGTAAATTGCTCAGATTTAATCTCATAAATTATTCTCTTTTACTTGTTGCCCAGCCCGGTATTTTTTTTTTTGTTTTTCCTTTTTCCAAATTCTTCCAAATCCATTACTGGATTCTGAAATCAATCTAGGGGATCATAACGAGCATTTTACTTCTTGAGAAGAAGAGAAGAATGGGAAATACCAGAGTACACGCATACGAAGTCTAAGTATTAATTTTTAACTTTATCTCAGCATCATGTGCTTATGTAATGGTTTACAACCTAAAGTTGATTTTTGGTTTTGCTTTTTTTTAAATTTCTGGGTTGCAGGCCAAAATGTTTGTAAAACATAGTCCTAACTCCACTGGTCTTTCTATTTCTTGAACATCCCAGTTCCTGTATGTTGTTGCTACCTGAGAACTCTTTTTTTTTTTTTTTTTTTTTTGCATCTTTGCATAGCTAGCTTTTCAACTTTTAAATTTCAGCTCAACTATTATCTTTCCACAAGAGTCTTTTCTGCCTTTCTAAAAAGACAGGTTATTGTAATCAGTGTCAGTATGAAATTTTAAAAGTCTCTAGAGGTAAAGAGTATCAAAAGTTGCATATGAATTTACCCAGGATTTGTATCTGGTAGTCTTTTCTCAGAATTGGCAGTAGAAAAAAAATGTATGAAACCAATAAGCTATAGTGACTATTTTTGTTTTAAGTGGAAAAAGTGATCAGATTTCCCTAAATTTGTTTGCCTGAAACTAAAATGCACCAAAAAAGTCTTTTTTAAAATATTAACACCTTCTCTTTCATTCCTTGTCTCTTTCCACTAGAAACTGTTACTTTCCACTGTTTTTTTTTGTTTCCTGGCACTATGTTAAGACAACTTTCTATTAATTCTGGTATTTCTCTGCGTCTTAGTGGTCAAATGTGACTATCCAGTACTCAAACATGGAAGACCAATATCAAAAATTAAAGAAAAATTTTCCTACCTAGATGAGATTTTATTTCAATGCCAGGAAGGCTTCTATCTTAATGGCAGCAACCCGGTATTCTGTGGTGGAAACAATGATTGGGAGCCTGAGATGCCAACGTGTATTAAAGGTACATGTTGTTTTTATTTTCCTTCTTGTTTCTTAAGGTTTTATTTCTTTGACATTAAATATCAATGATGCAGAATATTTGAGAAGAAGCAGTTTTAATAATTAACTCTGTCTTGTATTTATATCTGGGACAGATATATGACATAAAGTTCATATAGGATTTTGCTGTTATGCTTTTGTATGTGTTCATAGGGTTCTTAGTAGTTATGTACATCAAGTAGGTACATAAATTTCTCTTGTTTGGTACTATTCATGTATAAAAATGGTTAGCAACTATTTTTCAGAATAAATTGAATCATGGGAATTTTTACCTAAAAAAGAATAAAAGTAATAATTTATATAAATGAAAATAAAATTATAATTTCTAAGTGATTAATCCTACATTATTATGTTTTTCAATGTCAATTCCTGTCAATACTAAACCTCTTATTTTGAGTCATTCAAGTTTAGTAACATTCACTTTTATAAGAACCCTACTTATATTTTACAAGAATCCTATAAGTTTATGTTATATATACTCATTCATCACTGTTAGTAATAAAAGATGAAAGAACATATTTATGGGCATTTTAGTTTTTATTCTTAGTGATTTAAAACTATTTGCCATAGTCACAGATATAAACAGGTATGTAAACTTGGGCAAGTTGCTTACGTTTCTAATGTATTTACCTACATGTTAAATGATTTAATGCTTTCCTCAATGGGTGAAAATAAAGCTTAAACTTGTTGCATTTAAACCACTTAGCACAATGCCTGGCATATAATAACCTCTTAAAGAAAGCTCAGATATGACTAATAGCATCGCTCCAACTGATATTAGTGAAGTAGAAGGTCTATAGTGTTTCTCTTCTAATATGTATTTTTTGTGTGTCACCAACTTTGCTATTATAATTCATTTTATAAGAGGTCTTTTAACACATTTAACGGTATCATCATGGTCCAGGACTATGTTTCATTTCCCAGACTGCAAATTTATTTCTTTTTATATGGCACAATTCGAACTGGGAAATTTCTGTCTCTAGAACAAGGCTTTTTTACTACCCCCAACCCAATCAACTCTGCCTCAAAAAATTACTCTTTGTGTCTTTACTGGGCATTTCTGTTCAGCAACAGGAACTAAATTTCATGCCAACTGAAAGGCAGGAAAAGTCATTATTTAATGAAATGAAATGGAGGACTTCTTGCATGGGCTGCTCATCAACTGCTCTGCTTAAGACTTGAGAGATTATTTTGATGTGGTGGAAGGAACTTTCTACCTGATTTCAGTGCTGCTATTTCTGTCTTCTTCTTGGTTTCAGCAGAACAAGAGACAAGAGGAATAGTGGGAAGAGCGTTAGCCTGGGCTGACGTCACTTGGGGCCCTAGTTTGGTTCTGCTTACTCATAGAACATCATTTCTGTGGGCTTTAATTTCCCATTGTTTAATGAGGGTGTTTGAACTCAAATCTCAATCATTGTCTTCTAATTTGCTTGTATATTTTCTGTTGTCTTAAATTCTAAAGGTTTAAGGGGAATTATGCATGTCAGTATGGTAACTGGAGCACCTTTTTATAATTCCTGTATACCTGGTCCCTAGTAGCCTCCATGAGTATCTTAGTTGAGTGCTGTGAGGTTTGGGAGCTGGGGGAGAAGAGATGGGTTTTTTAATGGACTGTTATGTAAGATTGCATATGAATTTTATACTTCTTGACCATTCCATGTTTACTCACATGGTCCTAGAGGGTATATGCACTGTGGGATACTGTGTTTGTTGATGTACTCTTTTGAAAGAGTTGACCATGAGAATTCATAAAGGATTTATAAAACACTGATACAGTTTAATATTTAAAAGAAGAGAAGAGGATTGTGAGAAAAAGCTTATCAAGAGGAGAAACGACAGGAATCTTTTTTTAAAATCAAACCTCCTCATGATGTCATTACTGTAATCAATTTTTATTATTAGTTAGAGAAAAACTATACAGAAAGGACCAATAGCAACATATAATGGTGATAACATAGGTCTGATTATGCTAATATAAAACAATGTTCATAAAATACTAAGGAGAAAAGGATACAAATTATTTCGTATGATACTACCTGGATGATATGTTTTAAATATATATGTTTACTCTGAACACTTTATTTTTATGATTTATTAATAGTTAACTTCTAGACCTGGCTGGTGTGGCTCAGTGGATTGAGCACCAGCCTGAGAACCAAGGAGAGGCTGGTTCGATTCCCAGCCAGGGCACATGCCTGCGTTGTGGCCAGGTCCCCAGTAGGGGGCACATGAGATGCCACCACACATTGATGCTCTTCCCACTATTCCTCTTGTCTCTTGTTCTGTCTCTTGTCTCTCCCTCTTTCTCCCTCCCTTCCCTTCTATAAAAATAAAATAAATAAACATTTTTTAAAAAAATAGTTAACTTCTGGAGTCTCCATTATAAAATGTAAAATTGTAGTGAACATTTTTTATATACACAAATAGCCTTCTGCACCTGTGTAAATATATATTTAGGTCATATTCCCAGAAGTAGAAATGCAAAGCTCAGAAAGTATGCACATTTTTAATTTTGAGGAATAATCAATTTTTCTAATAAAAAATCACATTAAATCCATAATTTTTATTGATAAGACTGATGAATGGAATAAAATTATTTTTTTCAGGTTTCAAGCCTACTCATCCAACCAAGCCTCCAGTTTCAAGATATCCAGGTTCAGTAACTCTTTATCCTGCTAATATTATTAAGAACTTTGTAAAATGATGGTGAAAAGTCATGTCTTGTTTTAATTTGCATTCCTTTTCATTACTAATGAAGCTGAACCTTTTTTGTCTACATTTATTTATTCATGTTCTTTGTTCAGTTTCCATTAGGTTCCTAAAATAGTATTTCTGTTGCTTGTGAGAACTCATTATAAATTAAAGACCTTGTAATACATAATGAACATTTTTCCAGGTCTTTTCTGGCCTAAATTTACTAGTTCATTTTTTTTTGGAAGAATGTTATACTATACTATTGGATATAGATTTCTTTTTATAACTTTTGTTACATGTGTAGTATACAAGTGTATTATTATAAGTTTCAAACATTACCAAAAGTATACAGAGTAAAAAATTAGTTCTTCATTTCTTCTGGCACATTGTCTGAGTTAATCAGTGTTGATAATTTAGGTGTCTTTTTATCCATTTCTGATGCATAAGGATACGTCACTATTCTTATTTACGTAGTTATACATATGTTGGCATTTTTCATTTTTCTTAACCAGAAATGGAATTACACTGTTCATATTTTTCTAAAACTCACATTGTACACTTACTCTCAGAATGGGGTTGTAGTTAGATGATAATTTTAATACATACCATATTTTATTTAACTATTCTCCTATCAGTGGTCAGTTAGTATGGAAAAGGTTTACATTAATAGGTAGTTGAATGTTTCAGTCTTTTCCTTAATGTCCGTGAGTGTTGTTTCTTTCTTATAACAGTTTTAAGTCTTCAAATTACATACACGTGAACATTTCAACCATGTGTTCTCATTGCATTCTCTGCATTTCAATCATTGGTATATCTGAAAATTATGCTATATGGAGTGAGATTGGGTTGTTCTCAACTGCAGCCACTCCCATTCAGTAGCTAAGTAGCACCATCTGTGGAATAAATGGTTTTCTCTCCAACTGTTTTAACATGCATTAAATTCAGAAGTGTTCTAGCCTTTCTGATCAACTTTTATTTAATTTTTTTACTATTTCATTCTAATTAAACAATTCAGTGGAGTTAAATACATTCACATTGTTGTGCAATCATCACTACTATCTATCTCCAAAACATTTCATCTTCCCAAAGTGAAACTTTATACCCATTAAATAGTAACTCCCATTCAAACCCTTACTTCCATTCCCAGTAACCTCTATTCCAATTTCTGTCTCTATGAAAATGACATCCTAGGTACTTTATATAAGTTGAATTTTACATTTGTCTTTTCTGTATGGCTTATTTCACATAGCATAATGTTTTCAAGGTTCATCTTAAAGTAGCATGTGTCTGAACTTTATTTCTTTTTATGGCTGAAAATATTTCATTGCTTGTATATGCCATATTTTGTTTATCCATTCATCTGTTAGTAGACTCTTGGGTTGTTTCCACCTTTTGGCTATTCTGAATATTCTTTTCTGAATATTGGCATTCAAGCATCTGTTTGAGTCCCTGTTTTCAATTTTGAGGGTATATGCCTAGGAGTAGAATTGCTAGGCTTTATGGTAATCCTGCGTTTGGTTTTATGGAATGATCATACTGTCTTACACAGCAGCTGTACCATTTTATGTTCCCACCAACGATGCACAAAGGTTTTAATTTCTCTACCTCTTATCCAACACATATTATTCCCTGTTTTTTGATAATAGCCATCTTAATGTATGGTAGGTAAAAGACATGAAGTAATAGTTCATTGTGGTTTTTATTTGCATTTCTCCCTTGATTAGTAAATGTGTAGAGCATCTTTTTTGTGTGCTTATTTGCTATTTTTATATCTTCTTTGGAGAAATGTCATTCAAGTCCTTTGCTCATTTTTGAATCAGGCTGGGATTTTTGTTACTGATTTTTAGGAGTTCAATATGTATTTTGGATATTAGTCCTTCAAATGGATGATTTGCGGATATTTCCTTCCATTCTGTGGGTTGCTTTTTCACTCTATTGACAGTCTTCTTTGATGCACAAAGTTTTTAATTTTGATGAAGTCCAATTTATTTTTTTGTTGTTGTTGCCTGTGCTTTTGGTGTCTTGTCCAAAAAATCATTGCCAGATCCAACATCATGAAGCTTGTCCTCTATTTTTTCTTCTAAGAGTTTAATAGTTTTAGTTTTTGTTTTGTTGTCTTATCACTTTTTAATTAATTTTTGTATATAATACAATGTAAGAGTCAAACTTCATTCTTTTGCTTGTGGATCTCCAGTTTTCCAAGAGGCATTTGTTGAAAAGACTACCCTTTCCCCACTGAATGTTCTTAGAAATACATTGTAGACAATTATTTGACCGTATATGTTAGGCCCTCTATTCTATTCCATTGGTCTGTATTTCTTTATGTCAGTGCCATTCTGTTTTGATTATTGTAGCTTTGTAATCAGTTTTAAAATCAGGAAGTATGAGTCCTCTCAGCTTCACTCGTCTTTTTCAAGATTGCCTTGACTATTCCAAGTACTTTAAGTATCCATATAAATTTTGGGATGGATTGTTTTAATTCCTGCAAGAAGTACCCTCAGGATTTTGATAGGAATTTTTACTTCATTTGTAGGTATGCTTTTGCAGTATTCATATCTTAACAATATTATGTGTTCTGATCCACAAACAAGAATGTCTTTTTTTTATTTATGTCTTCTTTAATTATTTTTACAATATTTTGTTTTCATAAGAGTTGCTTACCTTCTTGGTTATTCCAAAGTATTTTTTTTATATTATAAATGGAATTGTTTCCTTGCCTTCCTTTTTGGATTGTTTATTTTTGTATATATAAATGCAACTGATTTTTGCATGTTGATTTCATAACCTACAATTTTACCAAATTCATTTCTTAGTTCTGTCAGTTTGGTGTGTATGTAATCTTTAGGGTTTCATACATAAAAGATCATATCATCTGTGAAAAGAGATAAATTTATTTTTTTCCATGCCAATTTTGATGCTTTTTATTTCATTTTTTACCTAATTACTGTGACCCAACATCCTATACTATGTTGAATAAAAGAGGCAAATGTGGGCATCCTATCTTGTTCCAGATCTTAAGGTAAAACTTTCAGTATTTCACCATGGACTGTGATGTTTGCTATGGATTTTTATAAATGACCTTCATTATATTAACAAGTATTTCTATTCCAGATCAACTTCTAAATAATTTTTAAACCTCCCTCTTTTTAAAAAAATTTTAGGTAGAATCATGTTGAACACTAATCCAGTTTTGAGGATACAGCAATGATAAATTTGCTTACTGTGCCACACAGTATTGTGACAGGAAATGTCAGTGTGCAGGAAGAAGAATGTTGTTGACAGTCAATATAAATGTTAAATATTTTATGATTCTATCTTTTTTAAAATTCTTTTTAAGTTTTTTTACTGTTCAAATACATTTGACTCTGCCACCGCTTCCCCCTACTCCACCCACCCCCACCTCCCACCCTCAATCCTTCCCCACTTTGGCTTTGTCCGTGGGTCCTTTATACGTGTTCCTTGACTTGACCTTTCCTCATCTTCTCCCTGTTACCCCCCTCCTTCCACCCCTCTCGTTACTGTACTAATATAATTGAAAAGGAAATGTAATTATAAGGAATTTCATACAAATATATAAAACATCAATGTCATAGAAATTATAGATCTTTAAGTTTTATTTAGTCTTTCTTTTCTTTGTTTTTACTTTTTCCATTTTTTTCTAGGCTATCCCAATCCTCTTGAATTACCACCAATTGAGGAGATCGTGGAATTAGGTATTTAGTTATTAATAATTCTTTATTATGAGACCTTAGAGTTCTACATGAATACATTTTGTTCCCAGTTATTTGTAGTTAGAGAAAAAACAAGATGTCACAAATTATTAGTAATAATTGACATTTATAGTTATTTTAGTATTCAAATACAATAACTAATATGATAGTATGTATAGACATATATAAGTAGTTTTCTCCTATCATGTGAATTCTAATTGTCCTATTTACCTTTACTAAATAACCTGGTGTGATAACTACAACACAAAACAGTAAAAAGTGAAGTTCCTTTTAGAAATTTTACAAGGCACATCCCATAACTGGAATCTATTTGAAGTGTTCTATGATCAGAATGATTTGGATGTACTAACAGTCCTGCTCAAAGGAGATTGATACTTCTTTGCTGTAGTTTTTAGATGATATGATCAAAAGTAAAATGCAGTTGCTATCTGGAACCCATACATGCTCAATATCTTTAAAACTACTTTCATTTTTTCCTCAGATCCAGGAGTCATTGCTCTAATTATCTGTACTATACGTAAGTATCTCAAACTTGAATACCACTCAAAATCAAAATATTATTGTGAAGAAGTACAATTTTTTAGTTTCTATAGCTTTTTTTAGCTTGAGATTGAGTTAATCAGTATAGAAAAAAACGCTGACTTTTCCTATGATACACGGCAATATGTTGGTGGTTGTATATTCATTTATATTCTATATGCCCAGTTATTAACAAACCCTAAATAACACTTTTTTTCAAGATGATTAGTCATATGACTTTTCATCACAAATATGCTTTGGGTAATTTTCTAAACAAGGACTCTTCTCTGACTTCCTGTGGACTACTTAAGTGATCCAAGGGAATTGCATTTAAATAATGAAGAGTCCCAATGGAATATATATAAGTGTGTATGTGCTTAAATGAAATAACATTTCTGACCACTGAAATGTAAGCTTGTCTTTTACAAAGCATAATGTTTTCTTAATGTTTACCAACATTAATTTCTTCTGCTACATTTTGAATCTTGAAAATTATTTTCCATGATTACATGTAATTTGTTTTCTGGTTTCTTATAGTTGTTGCCATTGCAATAATTTGCACCTGCTTGTATAAATGTCTTCGCAGAGGGAAGAAAGGGTAAATTAAACATGTTTCTTCTGATTTATTGGTCTTTCTCACTCTTGACATATTTTTGTGTCTCTTTTGTTTGTACCCTGTATTGCGTGTCATCTATTTTTAAAATGTGCAACATTTATGCACCATCTGAATTATAGTTCTTTGCTAAAATTACTTTCAGCTGCTTTTAATATCATTGCAACAAGAGTAATCTTTGCAGAGTTGCTTTAGCTATTGTAACTTTAAGAAAAATTTTCGCAAGTTTTTAGATATAAGTTCTGCAGCAAATCATGGACTATGATGGGCCGTTCCTGACTCTAGGTATGTCCTATTTTCTAAGGTAGACTAGTGGCCAGAATTAAATTTAAATAGTTCACTGTGGAGACTGTGAAGTATATTCGCTGAAATTTTTAGAACGAAAGCTTCTCTGTCTGTAAAACTTAGGAAATTATAAGAAGCTATGTAGGTGTCTTAATCAAGTGCCCAATTTGATTTTTTTTTCATTTAGAGTTTTTATTTATATACATTAATGGGAATTAGAAGCAACACTATTTGATTTCCCTCTTCTGTTCTCTTAATTTACTACATGGTAGTAAACTGATGAGATACTATACTCTGAAGTTACTGAAAGGGCACTTTATCTGCCTTTTTATTTATAAAAATGGAAAAGGTGGGACTTAGGATGGGAAAAAAGTGTTCAAATACATACTTCCTAAGAAGAATGGGGTTTTTAAACATCAAACTTAAATTTTAATGAAATGCTTAACAATTTAATGAAAGACTTCAGTTAAATCCTGGAACATAAACCAAGTTTATGCTTTGAAGTTTCTGAATTTTTTAACTTTTTGTAGCTTTTGAAATACCTTTGAAATCAAACATAATAATTTTAAGTCTTTTGATATTTATGGTTTTACAATGTTTACTTAAATTTAAACACCAGAATGAAAGCCAACGATCTTTTATTTGGCATCAAATAATTACAATTCATGCAACACAAATTCAGGCAGAAACATATATAGTGTTCCAATTACAGTGTGAAAGTGAAGTGGTTTTGTGAGAAAAGAAGAAAGAATTTTATTGACCCTGAAAAGTTGAGATATTCTTAGCTATGTGTGATTAGTTACTGATTCTATCTTCAATACAAAGTCCATAATTATCATCCCTTGTTGTCAGGATCTGCAGCCTTGCTGGCTTTACAAACATTTGTTTACATCACACTATTGCTTTGTCTTAGTCCAAAAGTTGTTATTTCCAGTTCAAACATTCCAAAGGTTCAGGGAGCAAGACACGCAAAGCCATTCTTTAGGAACAGCTGCTCTAGCTCCACTTGAAAATGGCTCCACTTATGTCAACTTTTACAATGATATCTTTTCTTTTTATATTAATCATCTTGTTTTGGCTATGTAATAAAAGTACATTTTTCACTCATAAAAGAGTTCAAACATTTTTTTCTATTATTAGCTATTTTTTAAAATACCCAAACAATATGAACCCAAACAGGCCCACACCAAGACATTATAATTAAAATGCCAAAGGTTAAGACAAAGAGAGAATCTTAAAAACAGCAAGAGAAAAGCAGTCAGTTAACATACAAGGGAGCTCCTCATAAGACTGTCAGCTGATTTCTCAACAGAATTTTTGGTAGCCAGAAGGTATTAAAAAGAAATATCCAAAGTGATAAAAAGCAAGGATCTACAACCAATATTACTCTACCCAGCAAAGATATCATTTAGAATCAAAGGACATTAAAGAGCTTCCCAGACAACAAAAAGCAAAAGGAGTTTATTACCACCAAACCAGTATTAAATGAAATGTTGAAGAGCCCTCTTTAATAAGAAAGAAAAAAATAAAAAATATGAATAATAAAATGAAAATAAATATGTATCTATCAACAACTGAATCTTAAGCAAAACAAAAACAGACTTATAGAAATAGAGAACATTTTGATGTTTGTCAGGTAGGAGGGGTGTTGGAAGGATGGGTGAAAAAGGTGAAAGAATTAGGAAGTACAAATTGGTAGCTACAGAATAGTCACAGGGATATAAAGTACAGCATAGGAAATATGAGGTCTGTCCAGAAAAAGTTCAGCCAATGTTAACATAGCGAGATCAGTTTGCGCAACCTCAATGTAACCTGGCAACCAAGGAGAGTGGACTGGAATGCACATGCATGAATAATGACTACTTTACTGCGCCAGTCAGTGGGGTTGGTAGATGCCGTTGAGTGAGTATGTGTAGTGCATGGCTGTCGCATTCAAAATGATAGCAACTAAAGCAAAAATATGCATCAAATTTTGCATGAAGTTTGAACATTCCTCCATGGAAACTATTCTGATGATTCAGAAGTCTTTCAGGGATGATGCTATGAGTGCAGTACAAATAAAAGTGTGGTACAAATGCTTCAAAGAAGGTCAAGAATCTGTTGAAAGTGATCCACATTCTGGAAGGCCTGTAACAAACAGAACACCTGAGAATGTTGAACGTGTTCGTGCTGCAATCAACAGAGACTGGTGACTGACAGTGTGAGAAGTAGAGGCTGATCTGGGGATTCCAAAAACTACGGTGCCTGAGATTTTGATGCAGGATCTTGGCATGAAACATGTTATGGCAAAATTTGTTCCACAGTTTCTGCTGCCAGAGTAGAAGCAACATCCTGCCACCATTGCTAATGACTTGATTCAAATCGCTACCCGATGAACCAGATTTCCTCAAAGAGATGAATCATGGGTCATCAACTATGATCTGGAAATGGAGGCCCAGTTGTCCCAGTGGAAGTTGCCTGGTTCTCTACACCCGAAGAAGGCACGGCAAAGTCACAGGATGATAAAGGCCATGTTAACTGTGTTTTTTTGTCCGTCACGAGTATGCCCCTCCAGGTCAAACAATAAGGAGTACGACCTCAATGTTTTTCCTCAACTGAGAGATGAAGTATGATGAAAACAGCAACAGCTATGGACAACTGGTGATTGGCAGCTTCATCACAACAGTGTGCCCACTCAAACATCACATCTCTTGCAGAGATTTTTGGCAAAGCATCAAATCACCCAGGTGACTCAGTCCCCCTAGAGCCCATATTTGGTACCCTGTGACTTCTGGTTTTTCCAAAAACTAAAATCATCTTTGAAAGGGAAGAGACATCAGACTGTCGATGACATTCAGGAAAATATGACAGGCCCGCTGATAGCGGTTCCAGCAAAGGATTTTGCACCATGTTTTGAATGGTAAAAGAGATACTGGAAGAACTGTATGAGGTCCCAAGATGCCTACTTTGAAGGGGACTGAGGCATCATTGACCTATGTACAATGTTTCTGGCATCTTGTGTCTTCTTCAGTAAATGTCTCTATTTTTCATATTATGTGGCTGGATAGTTTCTGGGCAGACCTCATATAGTTAATAATATTGTAATTACTATGTATGGTGTCAGATGAGTACAAGATTTATCAGGATGATCACTTAGTAAGTTATATAATGTCTAAACACTAGACTGTACACATGAAACTAGTATAATATTGTGTATCAACTATAATTGAAAACAATTTAGAAAAATAAGTTATAATAATAAAATACCCAGAATGCTTTCATTTTCATCCTAAATCTTATATTTATGGAAGGCATCATATGCATAGTTATATTTCAATCAGCATATTTTAAATTACATATGAACTTCAGTGTGTATAGGAAATACTATCAGCTGGATATGTTTACAAGTCCAAAAGATTTGTGTAGTATGGACAAAAGTGAGTTCTATGGGATATGATGTCATGGTGATCTGGTCATAAATTCCTAACTGGGCAGGTCATGGTAGATAGTCACACGTCACAGAACATAACTTTTTTTAGTAAAAGTTTTATCTTTGTCTTAAGCAAGCCCTGTTCATTGTTTTGGGACATCAGTGTTAACACACCTTTGAAATAAGCACCTTCAAGAGATTACATAATGTCGTTAACTGTCCTGTAATCCAATCCCTACTTTGCCTTTTTCCACCTTCATGTAATCCTTCTTATATTCCCTTCTTAATTTCAAATGCATAAAAGTGACTGCAAAACTATCAGTCTCCAAGGTCTCTAAGATCTTGCTTCCTGGCAATTGTTGTCAGTGTGTTTGAAATAAACTTAGAAAAATTCTCTACAGGCTTGGATGTTTCTTGTGTCAAAAGTAGAAATAAGTTCTTAAAAAAGCAAAAGAAAATTGTTTTCTTCACCTCACTTTCCTTTTTTAAAATATCACTTTACCAAAACACTTAAGTTTAAATAAACTTCTCTCTATCTACTGGTTAATGGGTTTTTTGTTTATAGTTTTTTTCCAAATTGTGGTTCATATACATTTTTATTGTCCAAATATATTTGTCTCCATTTTCCTGCCACCACTTTCCGCTGCCCCATCCACCCCCGCCTCCCACCCTCAATCCTTCCCCACTTTGGCTTAGTCTATGGATACTTTATATGTAAGCTGAACATGCAGTTCAAGATAGGAGCGTCGTGAACTAACCACCTCTCACAACACACCAAATCTATAGCCACACACAGAACAGTTCCCTCTGAAAGAGATCCAAAAACTAGCTGACCAATTTCTACACATTAGGTGAGAGAAAAAAAACACTCCAAATGGGTAGGAGAGCCTGAGACACAATCTTCATGCATACCACCCACGGCATGGCAACCCACAATCAGACTGAATTCATGTCTCTCAACTTCTCCCTGAGGACTGAAGTGTTTGAACTCTACATCTGGCACCCCCTGTTTTAAGTTCTGCACCTGAGAGATGGGCCCCTCGAGTATCTAGCTTTAAAAGCAATGGAGCTTATGTCCATGAGATGCAGAAGGTGATAATGAACTGAAATATAGTTCTTAAAAGGCTCAGCTAACTGGCTGTGGCTAACACCCCAGAGCACAGTGCATAGGTAGCCGACTGAAACACATAGGTCTTTCTGTGAAAGAGGTATATTTATTTATTTTAAAATCTTCAACCTGACTTCCAGTCATGATGGTAGGATAGGTAAACTCTGTGCTCACCTCCTGCCA